TACAGCTACACAATAATATAAGAAATGCTATGGTGCATATGTAAGTGAATTAATGTGTTGTAGTCTTCCTGAAAACCATCAGATATTCGCCCCTAACATCCGCCGTGATGAAGAAGAGTCAGATAACGTAAACATTCTGAAAATTGTCCTGTAGCTCTGAACAAAAAGAGGATTTTTAATCAAATACAATTTATTTGATTAAAAATCCTCTTTTTAATTAAATAAAAAGATCTATAAATGATTAAGGCTGTTATGAATAAGGAGGTGACAACATGTGAACTTTGTTGTTTTTTTTCAGCGGCAGACACAACTCCATTTGATGTCCAGGCCGAGGTGACCCTCAACACAAACTTCTTTGCCACCAGAGACATGTTGACTCACTTCCTGCCGATCGTTAAAGCTGGAGGTACGAACACGAGGCCGGATCCAATCTGCCGGTCGCGCCCGTCGCCGCTGCTTGAATAAACAGCTTTGGTCAGCGTTTGATTAGAGGAGCAAGTTTGGCTTCGATTCAGACTATTAATGACTGTGGATGTTCGAAAATGTTCTCTGTTGAACATTTGATCTATAATTAGAAAGCGATATCTTTTTGTTTGCCCTCAGGATGTGTGATCACAATTTGCGGAAAACAAAGCACGACAACAATTAAACATGCAGACACACTACAGCCAACTCGCGTGTAATCTTTCCTGGAAGATGATGAGTTTGCTTGACGTGCTGTGAGAGATGCACATGAAGAGGTTTGTTACCCTGTGTGTGTGTTTCAGGTCGTGTGGTGAATGTTTCCAGCTTTGTCAGTGCACTTACGTTGAACAAGTGCAGCTCGGAGCTCCAGCAGCGTTTCCGCAGTCAGGACCTCACAGAGGACGAGCTGGTGGGACTGATGCAGCGGTTTGTCAGCGAAGCCAAGAAAGGCAAACACAAAGAAGGCGGCTGGCCCGATTCAGCATATGGAACATCTAAAGTCGGACTGACGGTACGGCTGATGTGAAAATGAAGTTCATATCAACACGTAAAGAACCTGCTCTAAATCTTAATCGGCGTACTACTTTGATTATGATGATGAATGTGTGTGTTTTCAGGCCCTGTCCATGATTCTTGCTCGTCAAGTTTCCAAGCAGAGACCAAATGACGGGGTAACTAATATTTAAAATCGTTAACGTTGCCAACAACATTATCTCCTAGTTTCTGCTTTGTTTCCTTTTTATTTTCTGTGTTTTTTATTCTTTTAACAGATCTTGCTGAACGCCTGCTGTCCAGGATGGGTGCGCACCGACATGGCTGGCGATAAAGCCCCCAAGTCACCAGAGGAGGGCGCTGTCACTCCAGTGTACCTGGCCCTGCTGCCACCCGGAGCCACAGAGCCTCACGGAAAATTTGTGTCTGACAAGCAAGTTCAGCCGTGGTGACAAGCGTGTGATTGTCAGCGTTTCCACCCAAACGACATGTCGAAGATCCGTATTTAGACTAGATGAACCAATCAAAACAATGCATTTTTAACAGTTTGAGTCTGTCAGTGTGCATGTGTGTATCTGCTGGATTATAACATATACAGTAATTAAACTTGTGTATGTGTAAGTGCTGGCTAATGTTTTTGATACAACACTTTGCCTGTGACAGGATGAATGTTTGATCATTTTTTACATGCAGGAAAGTAAATGTGCTTTATGTGTATGAAATATGAATCTCCTGAAGAACTAATAAACAGTTTTCTGCAGCACAGGACTTGTGAATGAACTGGTTATGAGCAGAATAGAAACATTAAATTTATTACAATGATATAGAAGAAATGCACATAAAACCGAAGACTTGTCTTCAGTTAAAAATAATGACATTTATTGTTAGCTGAGGATTCAATTCAATTCAATTTTATTTATATAGCGCCAAATCACAACAAAAGTCGCCTCAAGGCGCTTCATAGATACAGAGAAAAACCCAACAATCAT